AATGTGACTGATGTGCGCGATTACTTTGTTTTCTTGCCGTGCAATATTTTATCGACATCCATTATCACGTTTTGTTATCTGAAAGTAAGTGCTAATGATAAGTAAGTTTTATTTATATCTATAAGTGCTCTAAAATTGCACCAACAATCATATTCGCGTACAGAAAAAAGCCAATCGAACTTCATAAATAACGGAGGTGATCAATTTTCTTACGTATTTGAAAATGAAGTCCTTTCAGTTGTCAAATTTCATAACTCTTTGGTTATTTCGCTGTTTGTTGTTGATGATCATAGGTTGTTCTTGCTCTGATGAATTTTCTTGGGGACGCATTAACTTCAACCGTATGAATGCATTAATTCATCAGCCTATTCGAATCGAACTGTTACATATTTATCAGAAGCATGTTAGATATAAACTATGAGATTAATTAGTTGCCGATTGAATTGTCACTGACGTTAACATATGGACAACGTGTTATTATTCTCTTTTCAATACTCCAAAATCGTTGAATTTGGTTTATCGCAACTAATGAATTAAACGAANTTAGATATAAACTATGAGATTAATTAGTTGCTGATTGAATTGTCACTGACGTTAACATATGGACAACGTGTTATTATTCTCTTTTCAATACTCCAAAATCGTTGTATTTGGTATATCGCAAATAATAAATTTAACGAATTGTCGGTTCGTTCATAATTAGGTTAGCGTGAAACTTGGTTGAACCCATAATAATACAGTTATGTAAGTCACGGTAGGAGTATAGTTAACTAATGCACAATCAATGGAATTATTACTCTTGTCACTGAAACTTAAATTTATTCATTTGTTCAGTCAGCAATTACAACTCATTAGGACTTTATGCCTCTCTGTTATCACCAATATCAAAAATATCACATTTTCCCTTCCTTGGCATCTTTCTTTCCGTGTAGTTAAAAATTAATAGCATCGGGGATCATCAGTCTTCATGAAATTCCAACTTAAATTATAAATATATGTGGCGATCGTAGAGGTTTTAGACTACTCCTTAGGTCTCTGATTCGAGTCCAATAGAACCTGAACATGAGCTTAGGCTGCAACAATAACGTTTGATTGGCTGTCACAAGAAGTTCAAAATTCAAACTCGTTTTCAGATAGTATTCGTTATCGAACCGATGCGCAAACAACGTTCAAATGCTTTGGTACGAACGAACCAAGTCAAGAATTCTGACTGCAAATACGCTGTCCAGTTTTTTGCAATAGCACTCAATTATTCAGTGACGTGGATTGCGTTCAGGTTGGTTAGGACTCATCATAGCACTCAGATTTGCTTTCATGTTGCAAAAACATTTTTTTAAGGGTGATCCCTCTTCTAACATGCTCACCAATCATATGGGCACTACGCACTCTGTTGAATCTGCTGAATTTCTCTACAGCTGGATTTGTCATGTTTACCGGAAATGCACGCGTAAGTTTATTCATAT